ACAGTGAAGAGAGAGGAGGGACAAAGAGAGAGAAAGGGGTAGACTTTCCATCTCACAGCTCACTCCAGGAGCCCAGACTCCCTCTGGGTCCTGCATGTGGGGGCATTGTCTAACAGGAAGGTGGATTGCAAGCATGGAGAAGCAGGACTGGAACCAGGCATTCTGCTGTGGTTGGCAGCGTCAGGTGGCGGCATGACCCACGGTGCCGCAGTGTGTTTCCTTTGCTGGTCTGTGTCGTCTCCCATTCTGTGGTCTATGTTCTCATCCTCTTCACCGTGTCCTTTGCTGCGCCAGAATCTTCACATGAAGCCTGATTCATCATTTTCATTTCTGTTCTTTCCATTTCCTGCTTGGGCTGATAGCCCTTGTCTAAGAAACCATCACCAAACCCAAGTGCCCCTCCCGCATCCTGCCCAGTACTCTAGGAGCCTGACACTTCAGCTTTCACATTTGTCCTGTTTCGTGTGAATCCAGGCGCCTGAGGGGAGGGGTGCTGACCTCACGCAGCGCCCTCTGTGTGGGGTGGCCACAAGGGGGTCCGGCTCTCCGACGAGGAGCCACAGACCAGGGCTCCTCAGAAGTGGTGTGGGCAGGTTGCTCTGGTCCATCTCAGATGTCTGGTGCACAAGCTGGGGGGAGGGGGGATGGGAGAGGAGAGGTTGTTGGGCTGCAAGAGAACAGAGGGTCGTGGGTGCAGGTGCCCAGCTCCTTGCCTGGTCCTCTCCCTGCACCCTTGGCCAGGTGGAAGCCCTCCCAGCAAGCATGAGCCTCCCCCTAACCACCCCGAGCTGTGACACTTCTAATTCCTGGGTGGGAGCTGCAGAGCTGAACACACCTGTGGTGCACAGCTTGACCTGTTGGGCTCCAGGAATTCGGGGGTTCCTCTGAAGACAGGTCATGACCCCTCAGACACGGCCCCCACCAAGGCCCTCATTCAAGCTCTTCTTTGGCCCAGAAATCTCTGGGACCAGGAGCTTTCCTTCCGGGGGACCTGGTACGACCTGACTGGAGCAGAGGTGACAGCTCCAAGGTATACATGTCGCTGGGCTGTGTCTAACGCCACCTGTGGATTCAGTTAAGCCCTGGGCAGGGTGGCACTCCCTAGAGCTCTAAATTCCTAGACGCAGGGGGAAATCCCGTGCTTTCGGGGTGCTGGGCAGTTGCATCTGAGTCGTGGTAAGAGATGCCAGGTCTGTATCAACCTGCAGGGGCCTTGAGGTGACCAGATAACAAGGCCATCTTGGCTCACTGGCTGCACATCCGCCAGCGCCGTGGCTCTCGGTTTCTGTCCTCCTTTCTTTGTGCTGTTATTGAGCAATAATTCCATCTTTATTTATTGTATGGCCAGCAACTAAAGCAACTCAGCGGAACCCCAGGTACATAGGCAGGATAAAAGTCAGTTACACTTCTGTAAAACGTGCAAAGATCAATCGGCAGTGAAGTGAAAGAATGCTTCGTCTAGCATCGGAAAATGTGAAACAGTTGGACACATCAGAGCGATACCTGGGCAATGAAAGCCAGCACACAGTGAGGGTGGGGAAATACAGGGGGTGAGCTATACCATGTTCATCGACGCAAGATGGAACACTGCTGGGTTTTCGCTTCTCCACAGGTTGATCAAACGGATTCTAAACTTTACAGGGAATTGCGAAGATCCCAGAATAAGCTAACAGTCGGGATCATGGGTTGAGTCTCAGCTCTGCTTCAAATTCCAGCCACCACGCGAGACAACAGACCTGCAAGGCAACAGGTGAAGCTCCAGCGTGAGGGGGCTTCACCCAGGTGGGAGTCCTAAAGCTCTGGGCTCTAGGTTTAGCCCGAGCCAGTCCCAGCTGTCGTACTGAACCAGCGAGATGCAAGGTCTCGCTCTCTTCTTGCCTTTCAAAAACATAGAAATAGTACATACAAATGTAGGTTTTAGCCACTGAAAACAGAGGAAACTAGCAGATATATGTTTACAAAGATCTCCAGCTTTTATATCATATCACCAAGTAATTTAAGGAATGAATATTCATGAGCCTTGGACTGGCAAAAAATGTATTGCACGTGACCAAAACACTCCACTGGTAGAAAAATGATCAACTAGGCTTTGTTGACGCTATAACCTTTTCTTCAAAAGGAGCAAAAATGAAAAGTGAGCAGGTAAACCGAGACTGAGAGGACATCTTTGCGTCAAGCAGAGAACCCTGTTCTAGAACACTCAGCTGAGTCAGTCTCACTGCTCCCGCATGGAAAGGGACAGTGGGACCGAGCAGGCGCAGCAGGCTTAAACAGACACTTTGTGAGAAGGAAGAGGGACACGGGGCCAGGAAGAGAGCCCAGGGAGTCCTCTGCCACCATGGAGGCCTGGTCACTGCAGGAGGCTGTGTGGGGGCCACCGGAGGGACGCTGGTCTGAGTGTGGAAGGCGGCGTGGGGGTCCACGGGCGGGACGCTGGCCCGAGTGTGGAAGGCTGTGTGGAGGTCCACGGGCGGGACCCTGGTCTGAGTGTGGAAGGCTGTGTGGGGGCCATGGCCAGGATGCTGGTCTGAGTGTGGAAGGCTGTGTGGAGGTCCACGGGCGGGACGCTGGTCTGAGTGTGGAAGGCTGCGTGGGGGCCACAGCCAGGATGCTGGTCTGAGTGTGGAAGGATGTGTGGAGGTCCACGGGCGGGACCCTTGTCTGAGTGTGGAAGGCTGCGTGGGGGCCACGGCCAGGATGCTGGTCCGAGTGTGGAAGGCGGTGTGGGGGCCACGGCCAGGATGCTGGTCTGAGTGTGGAAGGCGGTGTGGAGGTCCACGGGCGGGACGCTGGCCCGAGTGTGGAAGGCTGTGTGGAGGTCCACGGGCGGGACCCTGGTCTGAGTGTGGAAGGCTGCGCGGGGGCCATGGCCAGGATGCTGGTCCGAGTGTGGAAGGCGGCGTGGGGGCCACAGCCAGGATGCTGGTCCCGGTGCAGAGCACTGCGATTCCGCATGGTTGCAGCTGGAGAGGAAGCGGTCAGGGTGTGTTGTGGGAAACCTGGACCGTGTTGATCTCGCCCAAAGCAAGATCAATGCACCGTGTGTTACGAGGAGAGGAGGGGGCTGGGGTGGAGCTGGGGGAGGGGGCCTTGGACAGTGGCAGGAAGGTCAGGTGCAGGGGAGCAGGGAGGGGAGGGGGCGTCCCTGGTCTGCCCACTGCTCTTTTCCAGGAAGACCAAAGCGCCCCCCGCTGCTGCAGCCTGGCGTCCTTGTGCTGGTTCTCCTCCTGGTCTTCTTTGGCTAAGAAACATGTGGGCAGCCTTGGACCTGTGGCAGGGCGTCCCCTGATTCATGCCCGCCCCAGCCTGCAGGGGTGGTGAGGGCCCAACATCTGGGGCTAAGCAGAGTCTGTGCCAGCACCCATGTCAGAAGGGGTATAAAACCCTCACATAAACCGTTCGCTTGCCTTTGTTCCCTTCCAGTTCCTCAGGCCTTGCTCTCTGCTCTTTCCCGCTGCTGGCAAGGACCCATGGGTGGGTCTCAACAAAAACCTCTGTACATCTTGTTTTACAACTGCCTGATGTTTGCTCCTCACGGGCGGTCAGCAAATCTAGCACATGACTCTGCTGAGGGACCACCAGGCGATCTGAAACCTGTGAGGGGCTTGGCAAGACAGGGCCTGGGAGCCCCTCTGCAGGGCCGCCGGGTACAGGAATGCCACTTGTGGTACCCAGACAAGGCCAGCAGGCCCAGCCCCTGCCCCCACACAGGACACCGCCAGGAGCAGACACACATGCTACCAAGCACACACGTGTGCACACACAGCCCCAAGTGTGTTGGGTATAGAACACGCGGTATGTGTCGTGTGTGGAGTAGAGTTTGTGAGTGTAGTATATGCGTGGTGGGAGAGTGTGTGTGAGTTGTGGGGTGCTCATTTCGCTGCTGGGCACCCCAGTTGCTCCAGTACCGTTTGTGGGGAAGAGCATCCTTTACTGCATTGCACTGTGTCCACATAGGAAAAAAATGGATGCATGTCTGTGTGTCTATTTTGGGGCTCAGAGGCACCTGCTAAAGCAGGAAGTGGACTTGTGTCTCCAAGGGCCATGGATGCAACTGGACGTGGACTGCTGGGCACAGCAGGGATTTTCACGACCTGGGGACACTCTAAGGAGTGCTGATGGCCAGGCAGCCCCGCCATTGTCCGCAGTCACTGCAACGTGCACTGGGGACGCAGGTGCTGTCCTGGCAATCCCATGTCAACACCCTAAGACAGAGCTCCAAGGAGACTGTGCCCCTTCAGTGAGGTGGGGAGGAAGAGCCTGACAGCCCCGAGGGCAGCCCTGCCACTGGGAGGGGGCGCAGAGTTCCAGGTGACCTGCCCTGAGGAGGACTCCCAGCTCAGCTAGTCCTCTGTGCCGGGGTGGTGACAACAGCCAATGTGCCAGTCCTGCTCCAAAAAACAGAACAAAGAGTAGACAGGCAGGGAAAGAAGACTGACCAGCCCCCAAGAACCGGGACAGAAGTCTCTTGCTGGACAAAACATTCCGCTGTGAGATGCCAGGGGCTGCAGGGGGCGCTGTTTGGCCTCCAATGGGCTGGACGCTGCCATTGCTCAACAAGGTGTGCAAGGAGAAGGGAGGAGTGATGTCATTGCCCCGGCTGGGAGCTGACATCTGGACACACACTAGCAGCATCTGGGGCTCCTGGGAGCTGGCAGGCGCAGGCTCCTGGGGCCGGGCCAGAACAGGTCCCGGGCAGGGCACAGGGAGACAAGAACCCTTTCTGTCACCTCCTACCAAGAGTCTGTGGCACAATCCCTCCCACCCTGACATGTCTCCCTCTCAGACAAGGTGTCCCCAAGAGTCCTGCCCAACAACGCTGGCTCCTGCCCCGGACTCTGTGCCAACTGCTCATGGCCTCTAAGCAAACAATACCATCTCCACCCTCTGCAAAGTGTGGGGCCCTCGTGTGTGGGGGAGGAGAGCTGCTCCAGGGCCACTCAGAGCAGGATAAATGCGGGGCAGGGAGGCAAGGAGCCTGCAGTAAGCAGGCCAGGACCATGCAGCTGCTCCTGCTGACGGCCGGGCTGGGCCTGCTCTGGGCGCTAGAAGAACAGAGGCCTCAGCTGGTGCCAGCCTCCAGTGGACAGGTGAGACCCAGCGGCAGGGATGTGGGCGGTTGGGGGGAGCAGTGCTGGCGGTCATGGTGGGACCAGTGCTGGGTGCTATGGTGCAACCGGAGCTGGGTGTCATGGTGGGACCAGTGCTGGGTGCTATGGCAGGAGCAGTGTTGGGTGTCAAGGCAGGAGCCTGTGTTGGGGTGATGTACAGTCCCTGGACCCTGTGGCTGTCAGCACCTGGGCTCTGTCCTCTCTGTCTCCTGTCCCTGGCCTGTCCTTACCCAAAGGTTTCCTGGGCCTATGGGTGACATCCTAGCTGCTTCCTGTGTGTCTGAAGCGGCCCTGGGAGCAGGTGCAAGTACTGCCAGGTCCCAGCTGTGCTGGGAGGTGCTGCCAGACCACGCGGCCGCATCAGTTGAGGGAGCAGGGACAGTCCTGGGGTCGGGGACTCTGCTGCAACTCTTTACACCCCTGAAGTTGCACTTCTGCCCCACTCAGCCCCGCCCTCCCCCTCCCCTACAGCTCCGTTCACCCTCTCCTAGCCCCTCTCCTGCTGCTCTGCCCTGCCCCTTCCCTGCTGCCCTACTCAAGATGCTGTTCCCTCCCAGCTCTTAGGCAAGTGGTACATCCAGCTCTGGGTGGGAACCCTGCCTATTCCTGCCCAGCGGAGGAGCCACCCGCTGCCTCCCTTCACCTTCGTCATGAACCAGCTCCAGAAGCTGGAATTCAGGATGAACCTCACGTGAGCTCCTCCCCTGGCCCTCCCCTTCCAGGGTCCATGCTCCAGGCCCAGCTGCTGCCTGAGCTCAGCTCCCGGCTTGCCCACGCTGGCTGGCATCTTCTGCTCCCTACACCACTGCTCTGTCCTGGGCCCGGGCATGCTCCGCCCAGGCTGTGTGGAGGAGGCAGAGCGCCTCTGCAGATTGTGGGAAGCTGGCCTTCTGCTGGGGACCCCCAAGGGTGGGCACAGGAAGGACTGGGTGGGACTGGGTGAGGGGCAGGACCATGACCTGATTTTGTGCCAGGAAGCCCATCGGATGCCTACCCTACAAGATGTCCCTGTCCCTGGGCAATGACCCTGGCTCTTTCTACACTGGTGAGTGACCCTGAGGACAGCCCCTGTGGGTTCAGCAGGGCCTGCAGGGGCCCTGCCCAGCACTCCGGGGCTCCTGTTCCTTGCAGGGTGGCGGCACCGCATCCGCATCACGTTCCTGCCAGGGAAGCAGTTTGCCATCGCGTACTTCAGTGGCACCATGGTCCAGACCTTCCACCAGATGATGATGCTCATGGGTGGGTCCTGCCTGGCCGTGCTCTCCGGCTCCCCAGGCACAGAGCAGCTGCCCAGGCTTGCTGCCCGGCTCCCTCCAGCTCCCACCTCTGAGCCCTGCCTGGGGCTTGGGGGAAAGGAAGAGCAGGCTCTGAGCCTCCCCTGCTCAGCTCTCAGTCCTGGGCCTGCTGCCCTGTGATTGACTTTGGGCCCCAAGCACCAGCAATGACTTCGCCGGAGCTCAGAGGAGAACGCGGGCATGGAGAGGAAGCCAGGCCCTACCTGGCGCCTCAACTTGAGACCCTGAGACCCACTCAGGGACTCCTGGGGCTGCCCAGTTCGGTGTGGGCTGGAAGGGGCCCTCCGCAGCACACCTGCTTCCTGGTCTATGCCCTGGTCTGTCAGGCACGGGCCTGGGGCTGCCCAGCACATCTGTGCCCCTCGCCTGCAGGCCGCACCCCGGACAAGGACCCGGAGGCCACGAGGACCTTTGAGGAGTTTGTGGAGAGCAAAGGGCTGAACAGGAGCGACATCGCCAGGCCCCCCCAAGTCGGTAATACGGGGCTCCTGGTCCCCTCCCTCCCCGTGTGGCGCCCCCAACCACTGTGGGGTCTGTGTGTGCTGGCATACACAGACCATTCACACCCTACCCCACCCTGCCCCGGCATTTCTCTGGGTACAGATGCCTGCAAGCTCACCCAAGTCTTCTAGCACCCAGAGTGCACTCCTGCCCAGGAAGGAGCTGGCCCCATCCAGCCACCTGTGGTCAGAACTGGGGCCCTGGAGGCTGCCCCGGCCAGGCCCTGCTCCTGCTCTGAGACCTGCGACATGGAGCCAGAGGTGGCTCCTCCTGTGTGTGCGGACACCCTGCACACAATGGGCCCTCCCCAGCATGGGCGCCAGGGAGCCCACCAGATGCTCTGAGAGGCTGGGCAGTGACTCTGCCTCACCCAGACGTCACTATGACATTAGTGTCCTGACAGGAGCAGTGACCCTGCCTGCCTGTGACCCCTGCCAGAGGGAGACCCCTGTGGCAGTCCTCTGCAGCTCTGCGCTCCTGCCCAGCCACCCTCACACTGCCGCGTGGCCCTGCCCCTGCACCCGCTGACTTCTTGGGAATAAAATAAAAGCTGCCTACTGCACCATCCTGTCTCTTCCTTGCTGACCATCAGAACCTGGCAGCTTCAGGCGTTGCCTCTGGGCTGTGTCTGTCACATGGAGGTTCTGGTACCTGTGGGGCCACGTGCCATAGGAGTCCCAAGTCAGGCTTCCTGCTGGACCTTGTCTTACTGAGGCCCCCCTCAGTCAACCCCCATGATTGTGGGATTCCTATATGACAAGGCACCCCGGAGCCCAGGGCTCACTGTGGGTGCAGCCACCCTGCACCTGGCCTGGGAGACCCAGCGGGAGCCAGGTGCAGGGCTGTCCCCGGTAGGCAAGGCGCAGGGTGCTTCAGCCTCCAGATCAGGGGTGAAGCTGTTCTCTGCAGGGTGGGCGGGGCTCCCTTGCCTGGGACCTCGAGGACCTGTGGGTGAATCAGGAGCACCCTCAAGCTCAGGTGTCTGGAAACTTCCAAGGAGCTCTGGTTTTTCTCTGGGAAGTTGAAGGCTCAGGACCCGCATGGCCCAGGAATACTACGCTGGATCTGAGCGTGGTCCTCCCTGGCTGGCTGTCACAGGTGCTGTCCACTCAGGTCCTGCTCAGAGCTCTGCTGGGCACAGGGGGGGGGGAGGCGGGGAACTTCCTGTTTCAGAGCCTGTGAGCTCTCTGAGGTCTCACTCGCCTCACCCCTGCTCTGTGGCGCGGTGTGGGTCAGTTCTCCCTGACCTGTGCCTCTCCATGTGGACAGGGGACGTGCCAGCTTCCTTGCCGCCCAGTTGGCACAGGGCTGTGCAGGGACCAGGAGGGCTCAGGAGAGGAGGTGGGGGCGCCTCAGCCGTCCACCCTGGGAGGCAGGGCTGCTGGTTCCCAGAGGAGACACCTGCAGCTGCAGACCTGGGGCAGCCTGGGCTCCTTCCTGCCTCCCCCTCCATCCAGCCCAGCCCTGTTCCCTGCAGTGTGCAGGCCCCACGTGTCAGCCTCAGTGAGAAAAGCCAATGGGCTCTCCACCTAGCTGCCTGTGAGCCCTGACCCTGGGCAGGCCCAGCTGCTCTCTTCTCTGGGAGGTGTGGCTGAGGTTAAACTCTGTTGCTGGAGGGTCCTGGGACTGGCAGCCAGCACTGTCTCCTCTGGAGTTGTCTGAGGAATCCCTGGAGACCCCCGGTCAGTCTCCCACAGGTTCTGGTCCTGCCCAAAGTTGCTCTGGCCCCACTAACAATGAAGTGTGGAGGATGGGAACCAGGTGTGTGTGTGAGCTATGCCCCATGAAGGGTCCCTGGAGCCCCGGCCCTTAGGTGTCCCTGTGACCCTGTCCCCTGAGGTGTCCCTGTGACCACGCCCCCTGAGGTGTCCCTGTACCCCACCACCTGAGGTGTCCCTGTGACGCCGCCCCCCGAGGTGTCCCTGGAGACCCACACCCTGAGGTGTCCCTGTGACCACGCACCCTGAGGTGTCCCTGTGACCCCGTCCCCTGAGGTATCCCTGTGACCCCGCCCCCCGAGGTGTCCCTGAGACCCACAACCTGAGGTGTCCCTGTGACCATGCCCCTGAGGTGTCCCTGTGACCCCACCCTATGAGTTCCCCGTCGTGAACCCCATCCTCCCATCAGTGATCTGGGCTCAGGCAGGTGCCCGGTCCTGAGGATGAAGAAGGCACCTTCCTCCTAACCAGGAGCTTCCTGCAGTGCCTGCTGCTCCCTCCCCAGCACCAGGACCGGCCCTGCCCTGCTGGACCCACAGCCCCGGGTCCACACCAGCTTTCCCTCGAGTCTGTGCGTCTCCCCATGCTTCCCCCTCACTTCACCACAAGTTGGCCGATTGTGCCTGCTTCAATCTGACCAAACTTCCCTGTGCTCCCACTGGAATCCTTGTCCTCTCCTGCCTAAATCCTGCTGGTGGGCAGTTCTCATCTCGGCACGTGGTAGGGTGAGCCAGTGAGTGGGAGTTTGTTGGGATGCGAAAGACCCATGCACACTTTCCACTGATGTCAGTTTCCATGACCTTTGTGGGGCCCTGGTTTATGCTCACACCGGGCACCTGTGGCGGTCCTCTCTGCACCTGCCCCGTAAGGGTGCTTGCTGCCTGCACAGCTGGCATAGCGGGGGAACCCTGGTTCACGGCCCGTGTTCCCGTGGGCTTTCCATGGGCTGTGAGGGTCCAGGTTGTGTCTCAGGGTGAGTGTCCTGCCCAGGACCCAAAACTTGCTGAGCCAACCTGCACCCTCTGTGGCATCAAGCACGTTCCATGCCCAGGTGCCCAGCAGTGTGGGCTTGGTACCTGCTGGTGCTGTCATGACCTGGGGCTCAGGCCGAGTTTGAGCTCCGCCCCTGGACTGGAGCCCACTCAGATGACCTTTGCTGACTCAAGTGCTGGGCTGAAGAACGTCCAAGAATAACGACTTCTCCCCGCTCTGGCGCAGAGCTGGCCACGGTCATGGCCAGGAAGGGACTGGCCAACCTCTCGGCCAAGTTCCGGGGGACCCTGTGCTCAGCTATAAAAGGGCGGTGGGGAGAGGAGCTGGCCCAGCCTCTCTCAGACCTGGAGAGTGACCTGTCGGAGCTGTGAGAGCAGACCCCCGAGATGCAGCCCCTGCTTCTGCTCCTTTGCCTTGGCCTCATTGCTGCCCTGCGGGCCCAGGACCCCCTGGCCTTGGACGAGGGCGATCAGGATGTGAGGCTTGGGAGGCAGTGGGGAGGCAGGGGGGACTCCGCGGAGACCCTCACTGTTGGGGCCTGTGCCTCTGAAAGGCAGCGGGAGTTGGGGACCCCGGTGTACAGGGTGCTGTGAGAGAGGCACGTGGCTGGCAGTGAGGGGCCATGAAGCAGTGCGGGCACCTGCAGGGCTGGCAGCCATCATTTGGCTCAGACTGGTGAAGTCACTGGGAATATTCCGGGTGGAATGTGGGGTACAGAGGGCTCCCTGTGTCCCAGCCTTGGTGCACCACAGAGTCTGGGGGCTACAGACTCAGACAGGGAAGCCCTGGAGACGTTGCTCAGGCTAATGGAGACGCCCCTTCCCCAGTTGTCAGGGACCTGGTACGTGAAGGCCGTGACCACGAACATGGACAAGCCAGAGAGGAAGCCCGATTCTGTGGGCCCCATAACCATCGTGACGCAGGATGGGGGCAACCTGGAGGTCAGCCTCAGTTTCCTGTGAGTGTCTGAGGCCTGCCGTGGGAGGGCAGGAGTGGAGGTGGGGCATGGCAGAGTGACCACCGGGATGCCCTCCAGCTGAGCCCCTGCAGCTCTGAGGAAGAACTGACCCCGAGGTGCCTGGGCTGTGTGCGTCCCTGAGGATGGCAGATCCGGCTCTGACCACCTGGCTTCCAGGGGCACCTGCAGGGGCCTGCCTGGGACTCATAACCTCCAAGTCCTGTGTGGTAGCCATTCCGGGCAGGAGAGGCCCAAGCAGGCCCAGCACTGCCCACACGCTCCTGTTCCCAGGATCAAGGGCCAGTGCCACACACTCGATGCTGTCCTGGAGAAAACGGAGGAGCCGGGCAGGTACACGGCCTGTGAGTACTGAGCCAGCGGGCAGGCCGTCGGCCAGAGCACCACATCCCTGACTTCCTCTCTGCCCACCTCTCTGCCCTCCCTGCCCTCCCTCCTGTCTCCTCTCTGAGAGTGCCCAGTTTCTCACACCCAGGAGCAGGGGCGGTCCCGTGCTGCCTAGAGGGGGCTAACTGCCCAGGGTTCCCTTGGAGGGTCCCTAGCTTGGTCCTGGGAGCTGGGGGAGGGGCGCTGTGAACCCCACCCCTGCCTCTCGCCCTGGAAACGTCTGAGCCCCCAGGATGTGGCTGGGCTGCCGCTGCTGCACGGGTTCTTGGAGTATGTGCAAGACTCTATCAGCCTCTTGGTAACTGGACTCCTGCCAGCAGGTGGCTGAGGGGTCTGCCAGGCCAGGCACTGGGCCCCATGTCTGCTCCTTTGTAAGGAAGCGTGGCCTCGGGTGGACCTGATTCTGTGCTTGCAGTTGGGGGCAGGAGTGTGGCACAAGTGACCCCGCTGAAGGAGAAGGACCACTTTGTCATGGTGTGTGAGGGTGTGATGCACGGGAAGGCTTTCCGCCATTTCAAGCTCCTGGGTGAGTGTGACCTGCCCATGGCCCTGATTCCCCGTGCCCTCCTGCTCGTCCCTGAGCCCTCCTGGCCCACAAGAAGCTGCTGGGATGCAAAGCACCTTTGGCCTCCAGCACAGGCCCTGATCTATCTCTGACCCCACATGCGAAGCCCAGGGCTTTCTGGGGACAGCCCAGGTCCCCCAGGTTGGGGTGCTGAACGCGGCAGCACTTCCCGAGTCAAGTGTGAGAGCACAGCAGGGTGGGTCAGCAAGTGCCCAGTGCCCAGGGCAGCCTGGCTTCCTCAGGGCTGCAGGGCCCTGTGCTGTCCTCCCCTTCCCTGCCTGGGGGGGCTCATGTGCGTTGGGGGACACCCCATCCTGGTCCTCCAGTGCTGCCTCAGATGAGCTCAGGAGTGGGATGCAACCCTGGTGGCCCTGTCGGCCCTGCTGAAGGACCCTCCCAGTTGAGGGCCTCCTGGTATCCCAGGCTGGGTGCTGACCCCTTGGTGCCCAGTGCTGTGCCACCTCACCCTGCTGTCTTGTCCTGGCTGCACCTGCAGGCAGAGAGCCTGAAACCAACCCGGCAGCCTTGGAGGAGTTTCAGAAGGTGGCAAGAGCCAAGGGCTTCACCACGGAGGACATCGTCATCCCCCGACTGGGAGGTAGGAGGGATGCACCTGCCTGCTCTCCCGGCCCAGGGATGCACAAGTCTCCTTTTGTCTTTGTCCTTCTGGGGCTCAGGGAAGTGTCAGAGACAGGGCAGGTTTGGGGTCCTGGCTCACTCCCAGTGTGCTCCAAGGCACCATATTCCCTCTTTCTGCAGAATCCTGCTCTCCAGAGACTGACTAGGGTAAGCCCCATGGCCTTCTGGGAAAATGTGGGTCTCAGGTTTGGTGGGGGTGTGGGCGCCCCGGCTCTGTCCCCAGCCTGCAGCCTGGGCAGGAGGTTGATCTGGCCAGGCAGCCTGGGTTCTGTCCTGAGCCCTCCAGACCCTCTGGCGATGTTTCTGATCCTGCTGTGGAGTCACCCTGGGGTGCTGGGTGCTCTCTCCTTGTTCCTGACTAGAGCAGACACTGTGGGGACAGAAGCACAGGTGTGGGCAGCAGCACCCCCACCCCAACAGCCCAGTGACTCTTCTGGGTCCTGGGAGAAGCTAAGAAATGGGGTAGGAGCATCCTGAAGGTGCAGCCCCCAGGCCCTCCCTGCTGAAATTGGGGTGTCTCCCTGCGTCCTGGTGAATCTCTGTGGGTGTGCAAGCCAACAGATTCACTAAGGAGGACTCTGCCCCACCAGGCCGCAGCAGGCCAGCACCAGCACCAGCCTCCTTGGATGGCCGGGGACAGCCCAGCCCTCGCCCAGCAGAGGCCTGGTGTGTGGGAAAGCCCTGGGTCAGCTTGATCGCACCCACAGTGTAAACACTCGCCTGCCAGAGCTGAGAGAATAAAGCTTTGAAACCAGCAATGCTGTGGTCATGTTTGCTCATCTTGTATCTGCGCTGGCTGCTGGTCCCGGCCTTGTGTCAGCACGTGTTAGCTTGGCCCCTCACCGACATACTGCCCGCGCTCTCGGCTCTGTCCTGGCGTGTTGGGTAGGGGACGTTTCTGGGGTCAGTCACCTCCTCCCCTTGGCTCTCCAGCTTTTGCTCCCCTCCCATGTAGTGCTCGCGTGGGGTTCAGGCCGCTGCCTGCGCCCTCACTGAGCCAGGCCCGTCAGTCACGTCCTGTCCCCCTGCCCTGGCCCTCAGCAAGGGTATAACTGCCTCTTTCCTGGGTTTCCTGATGGCTCCGTGGGTCCCTGTCCCCCACGGCCTGCCCCCTGCTCACTGGGGCTTCTGTGGTGCTGGCTTCTTCTGGCTCGCCAAAGTCAGCCCTCGGCAACCCCAGCACAGCCCAGCCAAGCTAAGCCGGCAGGGTTCAGCCCACTCCACACCGTCCCTGACTGGCCATTGGCCGTGACCGCCTCACAGCCCCACCCTCCTGGGGGCCATAGCTTCCTCCCCAGAGGCCACTGAGCCTGTGGCCAGTCCTCTTAGCCTGTGGCCAGTCCTCTTCTGCTGTCCACTCCCACAGCACCACGTGGTCCTGTCCCGTGGCTCCTGGAGTGCTCCCAGGGAAACAGTAAGCTGCCGCCTGCCCGTGCCGTGTGGGGCTCCTGCTTGCTGACCATCAGAGCCTGGGGGCCTCAGGTGTCATGTCTGGGCAGTCTGTCACCTGGTATTTTGGGTACCTGTGTGCCACGTACAGCTGGCTGCCATAGGTGTCCCCAGGCTTGGGCCTAGCTTCCCCTAGCCTTGTGCACTGAGCACCCCCAGCCAACCACCCCAACATTGCGGATCCCTGGGTGATGTGCAGAGCAGAACCCGGTCCTCACTGTGGGCACAGCCGCCCCACACCTGCACCTCTGCCTGTGGTGTACATGGCAAGGAGATGTGGGGGACCCAGTGGGGGCTGAGTGGGGGACTGTGCCAGGAAGGCCAGGTGCCATAGGCTTCACCTTCCGAGGAGCATAGCTCCCAGGGCACAGGGCCCTGCTCCCCCACCACCTTGCCCTAAGCACCATGCACTGAGCCGTACCCACACCCAGGGCTTCAGGCGTGGCTCCACAGGCCCCCCACTTAGTTCTGATGGCAGTTCTCCCCATATTCCAAGGAGTCACCCCGAGGGTGCCCTGGCCGCTTCCTGGCAGAACCCCGGGGTTGGGGGTTCGTGTCCTCCCCTTTTCCATGTGTGGGGGTGTCACACAGCACGCAGCTGTGTGCCTCGCATGCTGGCTGACCCCTATGCATTGTCATGTCTGACACCTCCATGCTCCCTGTGACCCCCATACCACCCACGGCACCAGAGTCAATCCTCATCCAGGTTCTTTGGTGTGCAGGGGAACCGCACCATGACACGTCCGCCTTCCCAGTGCCCAGGGTAGGGGTGGGTGCTGTGGGCAGACATTGTGTGCCCTGCCAGCCAGGGCAGAGCAGAGCGCCATCTCAGGGGACCGCCCATGGCTGGGCCAGGGAGCGCAGTGCCCTGACAGCACAAGGACAGGGAGGGCAGTGGATGGCCGTGGGCCCGGGCTCGTTCCACAGTGGGCTCTGACACACTTACTCAACAGGAGGTAGAGATTTTTTAATTGATAGAAAATCCATGTAAATCAATCCCTGTGAAAGTCTTCAATTCCATGTTCTCTGGTCTGTTTTCATTCTAGAAACCACCACCAGCTTGTTCTGGAACATTCTCAGGGCCACCTTAACATCACTCACTGTTTATCCCGCCCTGCTTGTCTGCTCACTTGTGTCCTGTCTGGGTGGGTGGACAACATGGTGGACAAGTGGGCACAGGGTGGGGGTGTGGTCCCAGTCCTGGGGTCTTGGATGGTCCTGGCTGCTGGGCGGGGTGGGCGTGTGGGTCTGGGATGGTCCTGGCTGCCTGGCGGAAGTGGAGGGGTCCCAGTCCTGGAGTCTGGGATGGTCCTGGCTGCTGGGCGGGGTGGGCGTGTGGGTCTGGGATGATCCTG